TGGCAGGGAGGGTAAAGGTTCCCCTCAAAGGACAAAGAGATGTGCTCCAAGCCTCCGGCATTTCCCAGGCACAGAAGTTTGCTTTGCACACTGACAGCAATGTTTGGGGTGGGCCGCTGGGAAAGAGACACTGAAGGGAATGTGCCTGGCACAGCCTGGCGGCAAAAAAAACTCAACTTCCAGAATGGGCCAGCAGATCCACCAACAGCGCAATCTTGCTCGCCAGGCACATGCACAGAAGTGGCGCTAGCGGTAAATCCTGTGGCAAGAACCAAAGTTCATCTTCATCTGCAAAAATGCACAGAGTGCTGCTAAGTGGAGTGAGGAGGGGGCTCTGGAACCCTGAACACTCGCCGGGGCACACAAATACTCCCCTGACCTGGTCTAGCAGCATCTTCTGGAGAGCAGCAGCTTTGGTCTTGGCTGGCACCAGACGATCCAGGACTTGGTACCAGCCTCCGATCACTGGACCCTGCAAGGAAGATTTTGGTCAGAAATGCTTGAGGTGACAGAGAGCTCATAATGATGGGGGCTAGTGTGGGGTTGGGTGGAGTGAACGACTCACCAGATCTTTTCCTAAGACCACAGGCCAGAAGAAGCATTTAATACACATTCCACTCACGGCCCCACCTACTGTCTTGGAATTTTCCCGTCTATTCCCACGTTGGACCAGAGGGTCTTTCCCAAGAAAAGCAGTTTAAGGGACATCCGGGTGTTCTGCTTGCACACAGCCTGCAGAAGGACTTCTCCAGCAGCTGATGCACAGGATCTTACCATGCCACCACTACTTCCTACCTGCCAAGCCCTGAGGGGCCAGTGGTGGAAAGAGCTGCTAGGAAAACCCTGGGAACGCCCCAGAAAGACTCCCAGCATTCCCTACAATTTCTCCTGCACCTCTGGTTCCAAGTCACTGGTGCCTTACCACAAAGCAAAAGCCAACCGTCATCATCTTCAAAGTTCTCCGGCTGTTGTGTCTGGCCAGCCCTCTCCTTTCCACCAGCTGCTGAGAGATCACATCTCCAGCACCCACCAGGGTCCCTGTGAAAAAAATCAATTCCGTTTCATTGAGCAGCTTTGCCCTCTTCCCAAATGCTCAAGAGATTAATACATTAAGGACACAAGCCCTCACAAATCTTTAAATATACACACGTGTTAATCTTACACGAATAATGGAGCAAGGAGTTCCTCTAGTCTAGGTCTGCCCACACGGGATTCTAAGTTCTCAAGCCCTACAGACACTGGGCAGGATACTTCGGCCAACCCATCAGCTTTTAACCGCTGGTTCCCATTGCTTTCTCAACACGGCCACCATAGCAATGCTCGAGGGAACCCAATTGGTCCACAACAGAAAGCCTCCAGAAAAGCTCCCATGAGACTCCTGCTATCTGGCTTCCAAAGTCAAGCAATACATGAACCTCTTAAGATCCACTTCATACCAGTTGTTGCCTCTCCAGACCAAGATACGTATCAGGGCCAGGTTGGAGGCACCAATTCATAACACGCAGGAGCTTCAGGGCTCCTTGCTGCCAGCCCCAAAGTTCTGAATCCTGTACTCTAGTCCTGCAGCTACAGCTCCTGGCAATGGAAATGGGAAGTCATGCGGCCCCCTTGACAGGGATCACTGTGGGAATCACAAGATCCATTTTGCCACGCCGGGGGGGAGGGGGGAGCTCATGGCCACAGCTGCAAAACTTCATGGCAAAAGTCCAAGGAAATGTGGCAAATGCACATGAAGCTGCCTTGTACCAAATCAGACCCTTGGTTCATCAAGGTCAGTATCAGCTCTCCAGGGTCTTAGGCAGGGGTCTTTCACTTCTCCTGCTACTGGATCCTTTTAGCTGGAGACACTGGGGACTGAACCCGGGACCTTCTGCATGCAAAGCCACACCCCCTCCCCCAATCATCAGCAAAGTTCACCAGTCTAGGAAAGTTCACACACATGTCCATTGCCAGGGGAAGACCTTTCCACACCAAAAGCTAAGCATAGAGTAATTATCCCCCGAGCCTGGGGAAGGCTGGGCATTGAGTGTGTAGGAGAGAGGGAGCCAGGACTGCTCCAGATTTTGTAGAGCTAAATCCAGGTTCCAATGAGTCTCAGTCTTTACTGAAGTCTGGACTGGGGGGGGGGACTGCTGCTTCCGACAAAGCACTTGGCCTCCTAGGGCTCCTGAAAGTGCCAGCCAGTGCCTCTTTGACATCACACCTCCCCTCTTTGAGTGAGCCAGCTGGCATCAGGGTGAGCCATAGTTCTATGCTGGGAAGAGCTTCCACAGTCTCTCCCCCCCCCCCCCCCGAAAAAAGCAGAGACCTGTGGTCGGCTCAAGGGCATAGGGACCCAGCCAGAGCCAAGGATGCTGATGGTGGGTCTGCCAAGCTGCAAGGAACTGTTCCAAGATTCAGCTGTCTAGGTTCCCAGGTATGCCCTGAGCACCAGATCCTGAAGAATCCACCCAGATAGTAATGGGATCCATTGGCTGCCTCGCTCGGCGCTGTGCCCCATAAGCCAGCTCAACCGCAGCAGGACGAGTAAGGTGCCAGGGTGATCTGGAAGGCACGGGTTTGAGAAGCAGAGGAGGGGAAAGGCTGGAAATGGAAGGCTGAAAGGAACCCAGTGGGTGCTCTTCTAAATGAGGGGTCTTCAGCCTCTTCAGTCCTGAACTCCCAGGCAACAAGGGGCCTAATGAGCCGCAAGCATTAAGTAATTAGTACATATCCTGTTTTCCTCCAACACGGGGAACCAAAGCAGCCTGCATCATATCTGTACATATTTATTTACACTATTTATAGTCCGCCTTTCTCACTTGGACTCAAGGTAGATTACACAGAGTGTAACCTACAGGAAGGGATATTCAGTACACAATACAAAAGGATTAGGGTTGCAGAATCAGTCAGACAATTAAAAAAAGAAGGAACGGAAGCAAAGCATAAGTATAGTATCGCTCCCAATAATAGCCGAGCCATGGCATCCTGCACCAACTTGAGTTTCTGAATTGATTTCGAGGAGAGACCAATGTGCAGTACATTACAGTCGTCTAGTCTCAATGTCACTGTGGTGTGGATCCAGGTGGCCGTATCAAGGGGCCATTTCTTGAGCTAGGCTGGGTTGGAAGAAAACCTTTTTTGCAGCTGTATTAACTTGCTTCTCCACCAATAAACGTGGGTCCAGTATAACCCCAAGGTTCTTAGTGCCTCTCCAAAGTTTCGGTTATAGGTCGTTCACATCACCTCCTGCCTGGTCCTTTTTAAACTGGAGATGCTGGTGACTGAGTTCCTGATGCACCACCATTGAGCCACTGTCCCCTCCTAGCATACATTGCCCCTCCTCTTTTTCATCCCCATTACTGCAACCCTGTGAAGCTGGTTTGGCTGACAGTGTGTTGGTGGCTCAAGGGCACCCTGCAAGCTTCCACAGCAGAGCCGGGGATTTGAACCTGGGTCACATGACAGGAAGTGAAGGAGAAGCCAAAGTTCTGCCCTCACTGGTATCGAGGCCAGGGGAGTAGGCAACAAGCTAAGAAAGCTGGGGACAGGAAGTGAAAGCCAAGCACCAGGAGGCTTACCTTGGCAAGGAACAGGCCAAGGGTCAGAGCCGGAGAGGAACGCTCTCCACTGCTGAGTGGACAGCTCTCCTCTGCTGCTCTTCTCTGCACTGAGAGCAAAGGGGCAGGAGGTGTGGTGCCCTCGCCCTCTGCACATGGGCAGGAGCAGCATGGTCTTCCAAAAAGTGGCACCAAAAAAATACAAGGCCTCATGGCCAGGCACCAGTGTTCCCTCTAAGCTGAGTTAGTCTAAGCCAGCTCAAAACTTTTTAGCCTCTCGCTCACACAGTTTTGCCTTAGCTCAGGAAGGATGGCTCCAGAGCAAATGAATTTATGCAGGAGCCAAATTGCTGGCTCACAACTTTAATGCCAGTAGTTCACAAAGTAGAATTTTTTCTCACAAGACTCCACAGTTTAGAGGGTGCATTGCCAGGCACATGGGACTTTGTAACCACCCGGGGGTCCTGACCCATGAGCTGAAGACCACTGTTCTAACTTAATTTTCCATCAGCACCAGAAACACTAAGACATTCACCCTCCTTCAGAAGCCCTTTTGACAAGTACCCGAGCAGACTTTGTCGGGCAAGATACTCAGTAAAGGCAGTCCATGCCCCCAAGGGGGCCCTTGGCAGTCTCTCTCTCTTTGGATGTGGCGTCATGGACACTGCATGTTGGCTCGGCTTCCCCACTCGCTCATTGATAAATCCAGCCGCGAACGCCGCCTCCCTCCTCTGCTCATTCATCCCTCCATTCATTCATTCATTCAGATGGGAAGGGGGAGGAGAGGTGGCACCCGAATGATGCAGCTGGCAAGCCTGCCAAGTGTAATGGGATGAGAGTTGCTCGGTGCCAGCCGCACCACCGAGATTGACGACTCCCGGGGCGATGACTTCACCCCCGCGGCACTTTGGGGGACTGCCAGCTCTGCTCACCCCACCCTCCCTGCAGCAAGCAAGGCAGAGGCCATCCCATGACACCTGATGGATCGTTCCGCTCGGCTGGGGATGCAACAGTGTGTTGGCTGGATGGGTGGATGGCAGGAAGAAGAAGAAGAAGAAGAAAAGGAGGAGATTGGATTTATACCCTGCCCTTCCCTCGGAGTCTCAGAGCAGCTTACAATCTCCTTACCCACCCCACAACAGACACCCTGTGAGGTGGGTGGGGCTGAGAGAGTTCTTTCGAGAATGGCTCTTGAGAGAACAGCTCTGAGAAAACTTGCGACTGACCCACGGTCACACCAGCAGCCGCATGTGGAGGCGTGGGGAATCAAGCCCGGTTCTCCCAGATTAGAGTCCACGCTCCTAACCACTACACCAAACTGGCTCTGCCGGTTGCCATTCAGAGCAGAGAATGCTGATGAGGAGAGACCAAGGGTCTAACTCGGTATAAGGCAGCTTCATTTCTGATATACTCATAAAGTAGAGACTGCCGGGGGGGGGGGGGAACCACACAACGGAGCCCTGTCAACATGACAGCCCAGGCTCACCCCACCTGACCTCAAGAAGCCCGGCCTTCTCAGTCACTGATTGCACACTGGTCTCTGTGAAGGAAAGGGAATTATCTTCCTCCCTTTGCAAGGGGCAAAAGTCCCTGTGGCCTCCAAGCAAAAGCCCAACCCTCACAGTTAAAGGAAGGCTCACGGCTCCAGCAAACACAAGCCGGATCCCGTGTGCCTTGACAGGGCAGGAAACAGTGAGGAGCTGGTCCCATTTCCTCTGCTGTCAGCACCGTGCCCCCCTTTCCAGTGGATGGTCCACAAATCCCAACAACCCTGCCACACCTCAGCCTCGTTCCTTCCCTGGGAGGGGCAGGCAGAGCCTATGCAAATGTTTCTTGAAGGGACGGCAAGCAGGAAGTCTTGGGGTGGCCCTTGGCTCCTACCACATTGTTGACAGTGCAAGAGCCATCTCTCTCCCTCCCCAAATGCTACTCGCCTTTGGGTCTGCTCCCAATTGGGGAGAACCCCAGCTCCTGGATCTCGAAGCAACTGAGAACAGTGCAGCAGTGTGGGAAGCTGTAAGGGGAACACAGGGGAGCGGAGTGTCCTTGAGGCAGGTAGGCGGCTAGTTTGTGCTGTGCAAATTGTGGCCTGGAGCCAGCAAGCACAGCCAGCATTCACACCTCGTCCCACCCTTGCCCAAGGCAGCAGCAATGGCAACCCTTTTAGAGAGATTAAAACTCCGGCAGCTCAACCGAGCCCCCAGGACCAGTTTAAGAGCCAGTGTGCAGCCATGGCTAGAATGCTGGACTTAGGGCAAGAAGAAGAAGGAGAAGAGATTGGATTTATACCCCGCCCTTCACTACCCAAGGGAGTCTCAGAGCGGATTACAAACTCCTTTCCCTTCCCCTCCCCACAACAGACACCCTGTGAGGTGGGTGGGGCTGAGAGAACTCTGACACAAACTGTTCTTTTTCAAGGACAGCTGTGCCAGAGCTTGTGACTGACCCAAGGTCACATCAGCAGGTGCAAGTGGAGGAGTGGGGAATCAAACCCGGTTC